CCTGAGCGCCTTCCGGCCGCCGGGCTGCCAGTTCCCAGAGCGTTCTCTGCGCATGTGCAGGGAACGCTCTTTTAATTTTTACTTTTTAGGTAATTTAAATATTTTTTCCAACTTTTCATATTTTTCTGCACACCTGGGCATTGCCCCAAGTGCGCAGGAAAATCTCCCTGCCCTCCAGGTACCCCCGATGTGCGGATTTAGATATCTGCACACAGGGGGCGCCTTCGCTATTAGTAAATAGATGATAGATAGATGATGATGATGATGATAGATAGATAGATAGATAGATAGATAGATAGATAGATAGATAGATAGATGATAGATAGTTTGTGCTTCTTTTACCACAAAGCGTACAATTTCACATCTTTTTGTGGCTAGCCAATATACTACTAAAGCAGGGCCCCCCAACCTTTTTGCTCATGCAGGCACCTTTGGAATCCTGACATATGGTGGTGGATGCAACCACTAAACGGCTGCCCCTGGAGGAAGGACCAGCCACAAAATGTCAGGAGAATGGTAATGTAGAATCGCTGATGGTAACACTTCAGTATTTCAAGCAGAAACTCTGTTTAACAGGTTGTGTTTTAAAATAAACATATCCCTTAAAATATTTTCTTGCATACACATAGCTTACGGCTGGTCACACAGTGAAGAACCTTGTGCTGTGGCGGTAGCTGCAGCCGAAAACCATTTTTTAAAAAAATCTGTTTGGCCAATCAAATATCCAGTGGCCAATCAGGAGCTCCGCCTGGTTCCATCCACTTTCTAAAAACACTTGGTGGCACCAAGAATGGTGTCAGTGGATGCCATAGTACCCGTGGACACCACATTGGGGACCCCTGCATTAGAGGCACTAATACAGGTGAAATAAATATGTCTTATTAAAAATGTACTGCAACCCATTACTTTGTCTAGTCTCCTAATATGCAACACGTGTTTGTTCCTTACCAAAAAGCCACTGAAGGTACCGAGGTCTTTTTTCAACTGGTAAATAGACGCCCAAAAAATATGCAGGGATTCCAGAGACTGCTATACCAATTCCAATAAGAGAATTGATTGTATCACTGTACAGAGGGACGATGACCAGGAAAAGGGTGCAGAAGCAATACACGACAGGGAAGAAGAGGCTGAGCTGCATATGCAAAAAGGTCAAAGCAAGTTACAGGACAAAGTACAACAGAAATGTAGCATAATCTCACATGCAAAAGAACCTCTATCATTTTATGCAAGTTCTCTTATAACTGCTAACTTGCTTTGGATACAGTAGCTTCCGTTAGATGTTGGAAAGAGGGTTTGATTCCATGTATTAAGTGCTTAGCAGTTAAGTGGTTTTTTGGTCAAGGCTACAGATTTTCTGTATAAGTGGTTTGTTGGTCAAGGCTTTCTGTATAATATTACAAGACAAATGAGACATCACCCTGAAGACCTTAGGTGAAAATAATACTCAGCATCTGTATACCAATGTTGGAGTTTAAAGCACTTTGCACACATGGTCTTGTTGCCATTCTTGTAGCATGCCTAATAAGGCAGGCCAGTCTTATTCTCTGGGTTTTGCAGATGGGGGAAGGTGGACTTAGGCTGAGGGACAATGGCTTGCCTAAGTTCATCAGTGGTTTGAAAAGCAGTATGCAGTCATGGTTAGTGTGTTGGACTTGGATGTGGGAGGTTGAGTAAAATCCCCACTCTGCCATGGAAGCTCACTGGGTTTTCTTGGACAAAAGTTTAAGTCCAGCAGCACCTTTATGACCAACAAAGTTTTATTCAAGGTGTGAGCTTTCATGTGCAAACACACTTCCTCAGATACACTGAAATGGAATTACAGATTGCAGTTGTACATATAGAGGGAGGGTTATTAAATTAGTATGCAAAATAGTGAAGATTTTTTTAACAGATACAAAGAATGACAAGCTTGGTATATGGTTATCATCTGTTTGGGTTTGTTTTCCCACCTTGATCTGGGTTTTCTTGGGTCAGCCTAATGTAACTCATAGGGTTATTGCTGTGAGAGAAGAAGAAGAGGAAGAGGAGGAGGAGGGAATTGGATTTATACCCCACCCTTCACTTGGAGTCTCAGAGTGGCTTACAAACTGCTGTGCCTTCCCCTCCCCACAACAGACACCCTGTGAGGTAGGTGGGGCTGAGAGAGCTCTTTTCAGAATTGTCCTTGAGAGAACAGCCCTGACAGAACTATGGCTTGCCCAAGGTCATCCAGCAGCTGCAAGTGGAGGAGTGGGGGGAATCAAACCCAGTTCTCCTAGATTAGAGTCCGCACACTTAACCACTACACCAAACTGGCTGGAATGGAGGTGGAGAGGCTGCTGTAGTGAGCTGCTTTGGGTCCCCCATTGGGTAGAAATTTGGGTCTAAATATCTAAAATAAATAAACAGCTTTATCTCTTGGTGCATCAACCTACTGCCTACATAGTCTGCAGCAGAGTTCAGCTAATGTCCTTAAGCCATGATACTTAAATACGAAACATGTCTGTATGAACCTGTGTGAATTTTGCTCCTCCAGTTAAGTTTGGCACCTCTCGAAGGTTGTTTGCACCTCCTCTGTTTGTGCTAGGCCTTTTGTGTGTGTGGTGGGACCAATTCTTTGGACTGACCCTCCAGAGCAAGATCAGAGATCACCTGCAGAGTTGTTTTTAGGAAAACATGTGAGCTTGCTATTTTTTAAGAGAGGCTACTATGTTGAGGGTGTTTCAATGTTTATTTACAGGAGCACTGAGATTTTAACTGAAATGAATGCTCTTTTGGGGCTGGTGACTTCCCCTACATTGTTGTTTTCTTTTTTTGTGTGTATGAGTATACTAGTACTTTCTTAGCTGACTTGAGTCTTTGAGAAAGGCAATGTGTGTGTGCATGTTCAAGCAATTAAATAAATTCAGAAGTAGCACTGCCTGATATAAAAATGCTGAGTAACACTGCCACCCTATGCCGAGTTACGTATACCCTCTAAGTCAATTGATGTCATTGTAACTGCATGTCATTCAAGAAGCCATCATGCCAGCCTGGTCCATAGGTCGCAAAACTGTACGGAGTCTAAGAAAACATGCAAGACCACTTCTAAGGACACATTCTAAATTGATAATCTCAGTTTCTGAGGCTGAGACTCTTTAATGTTTGAACAAAAAAGGGGGGGGATGTTTGAGAATAAAAATATTTTCCTGTACCATCCTTAGGTGATGCTTTGTTGTTGGCACCTACGGCAAGCCAAGGCTAACTCCTTCTTCCTCATGTTAGTCAAATTCAAGGGAAGGGAAACAGAAAGCATTCTGCATTTCCACAGTGGCTGGCTGTGTTCTCAAGCTGCATCTGAGCAGCTTTAATTTTATATCAGCTCCTAAAAGACTAATAAATACACAAGGCTGGATTTATTTGATGTATTTTTCCAACATCCTCCAGAATATTTGTCTCCCACTCTGAACTGGGTTCCATCTGCAGAAAATGCTAATTCAGATTGTTTCTAAGCTTAAATGGATATTACACAGAGGGGAAAAATGTGGCTTTATATTTGTCTACGCATTCTTAATAACAGAGCTACAATCTCTCTCTCTCTCTCCCTCGCTCCGTTTTTATGCTTTATTTCTGTTATTTACTTACTTTAATGGGCCGCCGTCTGGCTGGCTGGGTATATCTTAAATATATTAATCCTGCAATTGACAGTCCAACAAAAAACCAATAGCTGAAGCAGTAGTAGTTAATCAGGAGAAAAACGTCTTCCACAAGGAGATATATCAAAGTCATTAACCCCTACCAATGGATAAAGAGAAGAAAAAAGTCAGAGAAAGAAGAAAAGAATGCTATGTGCATGGTCTAAATATATTATTTGTTTGTTTGTTTAGAAAATGTATATGCTGTCTCTTCAGAGACCAGCTTGAGACAGTTCACAAAATAAAATACAATAAAATCATAATATAAAATTGTCAATCAACAGACATGAAAAAAGAGAATAACACTAGTAAAAATTTTTTAAAAAGTAATCAAGAACAAGCCAATGTATAAAACAACACAAAACAACAGCCTAAAAAAATGAATATTCATAAAATAGACCCCAGGCTAGAAGTTCTATTGTATACCTGTTTACAGATATTCCATGCTTAGAACCTAGTACAATTTTTCTGATTACTTTTTAAAATTGTTACTGTTATTTTTCAAATCCTGCACACACAAAGAATAACCCTGCAGGATTTGTCCTTTGTTTTTGACTTGTTTTGTTTATTTTCTTTAGATTCATATAAAATTACGTAAAATTACATAAAACAGCAAGAAAAATCTGCATGCGGATCATCTTGCTAGATTGGAATCTGTGTGCTCAAGGGTACTGCACTGGGGTTTATACAGGCATTTGACAATCTGCCATTTGCTATAAGGCTTACTAGGTAGTATGGTGTTTAGGCCAACTTCTGCAGCACAGGCAGAGGGACAGTACTCCCTCTAAGACCCAGCGTCAGAGTGCACAACTGCAGAAGAAGATTTTACTCTACTGTTGAATCATCCTCACATCATGACTGCTCCTCCCCATCAGCTCTAGCCCTAGGCAAAGTTAACGCTTACTTAACTTTGCAAAGCAGAGTCAATGCTTGTATGGAAGAGAGAGGGACTTAGTGTCCAATGGCTGCTGAGTGAACTGTGGCTAGTGTGTTTCCAGTGCTTCAGAGCTGACTTTTACGGATGCCAGCCTCCAGGTGGGACCTGGGGATCCTCCTGATTACATCTCATTTCCAGAATACAGGGATTGGCCCCCCTGGAGAAAATGGAGGCTTTGGAGGGCATTGTATCCTGCTGGGGCCCCTCCCCAGGCTCCACTCCCAAATCTCCAGGAGTTTCCCAACCTGGATCTGTCAACCCTACCCCACATCCCCTACTGGTGGCACCTGGCAACCCTAGCTAGCTTAGAGGGGGGGGGGATTGTGACACAGCACAGCAGTAAATGCTATGGTCCATACTTGCCTTGTTGGGCAGTCACTATACTAATCCATAAAGCCAAAGCTAATAAGAAAGGGGAAAAATGACAATGTGAAATATGGAAGTGTGTAAGAAGCAGAAGAAAAGTTGGTTTTGATATCCCACTCTTCACTACCCAAAGGAGTCCCAGAGCGGCTTATAATCTTCCCTTTCTCTCCCCACAACAGACACCCTGTGATGTCGATGGGGCTGAGAGAGCTCTGAGTGAACTGCTCTTGAGAGAATAGCTCTGAGAGAACTGTGACTGACCCAAAGTCACCCAGCTGGCTTCAAGTGGAGGAGTAGGGAATCAAATCTGGTTCTCCAGATTAGAGCCTGCCGCTCTTAACCTTCACACCAAGCTGGCTCTCAGCTTGAGTATTGTGTGATCGCTGTGTATTGTGTGTTATGGTTATGGGCTGGAGGGTTATGGGCGCCTATGTTATGTGTTACCTATGTGTTCTCACATGTGACAGGAGAGTTTGAGTATGTGCAAACATGAATAGCGAAAGAGACAGCCAGAGACTGCATACATATCATTTGACCAGTTTGATGTTTGGATACTTCACTTTCCTAAATTATCCGCTTGACTTCTTCCTGTGTGTCCGTGCTATAATCTGGATAAGGCTAGACAAAATATTTTCTGTGTATTCTGCCCCCTGACCGACTGTGCTGTATGCCCAGTGTCATAATTTTGCTGAGGCCTCTGCTAATCCATCAGTCTATCCTTAGTGCTTCACAATCAAACCCTTTGGTGGGAAGTCTGCATCCATTAATCAAGGTGGTGTGCAGTTGCTTCGCTATCCACCTGTTTGATATGCGGGCTTCCCGCACATATTTACACTACACTCCCGGGATGTTATTGACTCTGTTAAATTTTAGCTTGCCATCATTTGTTAATTTGGCTCTGGTTTTTACCTTGGATTATATGGATATTGTTTTTATCTGCTTTATTAGTCTACTGTAACCTGCCCTGAGTCCGCTTGCAGGGGAGGGTGGGATAGAAATCCCAATAAATAAATAAATGAATATCCAGGATCAGGAACTGCACATACAATAGCTGGAGATTAAATGTGGGCATGCGTCCAAATTTAATTTAGCCAATGCGATCCTTATCAGCGCAGTATAGAGTAGAGGCAGTGGTCCCCAACCTTGTTGAGTCTGTTGGCATTTTGGGGATTTTGACAAAGGGGAGGGGGTGTCGTGACAAAACAGGGGAGCAATTATGAAATGCTGGGGGTTTGAAAGACAAGCATCATCCTATCATGTAGACAGCAGTTTCTGAATAGGTGCTGCTTGCAGACATCAGTGTGGTGTGTTCAGGTCTTCTGAAGCACCCACGGGTTTAGCAGGGCGAAGGACTTCAGGACTGGCTTTCTGCTTTGGAGAAGAAGCAAGTGGCTTCCAGGAAATGCCTTGCTGGCCACCATGGCACCCATGGGTGCCATGTTCGGGATCACTGTCCTAAAAGCTGTGATCACATCCATTACTAGCCCATGCGATCTTAGGCTTGGTGAGAGCGAAGTTGATTTGCTTGGCTCACAACATGCAGCACGAACCAGAATTACACATCAAATGAATACAGGTTTCAAAACAGCCCACATGTAAATGTAACAAATGTAAACATATTTTGCTTCTTTTTATTTTGCAAATACTTACATTAAAAATAAGAGCAGGAACAGGCGTAAAACGTTTTATATGAATCAAACTCAGGCTGTCAGGCAGGTGTCCTTCTCTGGCTCCAACGTAGAAGAGCCTAACATAAAGGGGGGGGGGTCATAACAGAACACAGTCCTATTAGATTCTTACAAAGTGAGGGTGACATGGATCTAAAGGGCAGACTGAACATGGACCAGCAGAATAACAGTAAATATGGCTAGAAGCAGCCCTGAGGTCTGCTTGACAGAATGCCAGGGCTGTTCCCTTCAACAGGCGCTGCAGTGCTGATGTGAGACATTCTTATGTGATCCATCCACATCCCGTGTGGCAGCCATAAGGCAGTTGTACAATACAAACTGGATAACACAGGAACCAACCCTAGGTCACTGTAAGAAATAACTGCTTCTTTTTAAGGGTGCTCTTAAATATTAGCTGCTGCATGACCAGCCTGTGCCATTGTCACATGGCGTCCATGATGAAAATGAAAATATGATCATGTATCTCAACGCTTACAGTATTGTTAACTTAACAGAGAATAAATTTCTTTGTATCCCCACAGTCTGTTTTAGCAGGGTTGTTGTTGTTTTTTGTCTTTTCCTTTTAGTACCAAGGAGTCCTTCTACACACCTTCTATCTGGGATGGTCGTCCTCTTCAACTGAGTGCGCAACTTTGGGAGGGATGCACATGGAGTGGTGAGGGACACCCACCTAGCCAGCCAGATCAGCCGAATCAACCCTGACGATCAGTGAGGTGACAGATGTTGCAGCCAGATCACCCTCACATCCAAGGAGTCTTTGTAGCATTTGCCATAGATGGTGATAAAAAGGTAACTGCTCATACAATGAACTCTCTTATATTGAACAAAATGAGCTTGGATGAGTATGCTTGGGAGATTTGGAATTATGCACGATAGAGATTTTCTGCATTACTACCACCAGCCACCAGGAAGCACTGTATTTTCTAACCTCATAGGCTTGGGTCCTATGAATGCGTGTGCTAGATAGTTTCTACTGTGGGAGTGGGCTTCCGTGTCTGCTAAAACCTCCATTTGTGCAAGGGGCCATTGGAAACCATTGATTTTGTATAATGGAAGTTTTAGCACAAGTTTTAGCAGATGTTACCATGGGGTAATTTGGTGCTGTTTTGGAGCCTGGGAATAAATGGCACCCGGAAGCACCATTAGATATACTTTCAACAAGCGGTATGCAGCAAGGAGCACACTACATGACAAAATGGTTGTCTGATTGTAATGTCTCACAACTAGATAAATTTGCATTGTACATGGAATATTGTATATAAAGTGTTCTACTCAGAGGTCATTTCAGGGGGGGAACGCGGGGGAACACAGTTCCCCTGGGTGAGGTGCAGGGGGGCGGGGCACATGACGAAGCCCCGCCCCCTGCTTCCGGCCGCCCCGCTTCCGGCCCTCATTCAGCCAGGAGGAGGCAGGAGAAGAGGGAGGGTAAGTTGCTTCCTCCCCGCCTCTCCCCACCCCTGTCTGCCTGGGGCCAGGGAGGGCCTTGACGGGGCTTCCTCGCACTTCCGCTGGCCTTGCAGGTCCACCACCGGGCCCCTGATGTCAGGGGGTGTGGCATATGCTAATGAGTTATGCTAATGAGTTCCCCTAGCTCTTTTTCTACGAAATGACCCCTGGTTCTACTCAGGTCATCACAGGTTAAAATTGCCTATGAGGTGAAGCAACTATACAATTGTCCTATTCTGCTGAAACACTTCTAGGCTAATTTTAGATTGTGTGAATTGGGTCCTTATAAACAACTTTGTTTGAAAGACTGATGAATCTTCATATCCATCCATCCATCCGTCCATCTATCTATAGATTACATTGGTGACTAGAGACCATTTCAATTGTTACATTTGGGAAATCTAACCATGGGTTAGATCTCAGTCTTCTGATACACATGATCACTATTTTGTCTGAACAGGGCATCATATGTCTTTTCCAGCTTTGGTACATAGAATATGTACCAAATATGGACAATAAACATGGTGCCTTATTCAGAAAAATGGTGACCTTGTGTGTCACGTACTTCTGATACATACGGCTGGATAACCCCAAAGGCAACATCTGAAAAAGTCTTAGTTGTTCTATGGAACCCCAGAAGATAAACAGAATCTTCTTTGTACCTAACAATTCCCTTTTGCACAAATGTGCCAGATAAATAAAACTTAATATTGCTATAAAGCACATACAGTTCACTGGACTCACTGCGTAGTCAGAATCAAAGACAGAGGAGTTGCCTCGGTAAACAGTAGGTTGTGCTTTTACTGTCATTTTACAGTTTGCTTATTTTTGAACGACATGTTCTTTTGAGGTAGCTTGTAAATGAAAGAAGGATGAGACAAAGCATCACAAAGGTCCAGTGTGGTACCACACAATCGCTTTTACGAAATGCTTCTGGCTTCACCTGTACAATGCTAGCTTCTTAATTTGTACCTGGAAGCTGCAATAATAGATGAGTTTAATCCTCCGTAACAAGACATGGCCACTGCAATGGGGATAATCCATTTAGCATGGCTAAGAGCTTCATTACCAAAAGTCTGTAATAGGAAAAAGAAAGAGCTCGTTCAGCTAGTTTCACAATGTGAGCTGACTGTCATGGAAATTTACAGCTCAAGCACAGCCAGCCAGCCTGTTTTAAAAAAATGATTATCTTGAAAAGGGTTTTTAAACAGCCAGGTTATTTTTGTGATCCATAAAACACAGCTAAATTGCCTGTGAGTGGGTGACTAAGTAATGACAAGACAAAAGCATTACTCACATGTAAAGAGTGGCGGGGACTGGCAGTCTACTTTCAGGGAAAGTTCATGGTGGGCTGCTGCTCTGAAGCATTGCTGGCAGGCTGGCAGCAAGAAGCAAGCAGAGCCAAGCCCCAGTAGCTTTATGAGCCGTGCAAGGACTGCTTGGCTTGGGCCCTTCAAGTAGGGTTGCCAACTCAAGGCTGGGGAATTCCTTGAGATTCGGAGGTGGAGCCTGAGGAGGTAGGGTTTGGGGAGTAGAAGGAGCTCAGTGGAATACAATTCCATAAAGTCCACCCTCCAAAGCAGCTATTTCCTCCAGGCAAAACTGATCTCTGTTGTCTGGAGATATCCAGGCCCTACCAGCAGACCTTAATTCCAACTTTCAGCTCAGAAGTTATCTCCTCCTCCTCCTGTGAAATCATCCCTAACACCACTGGCTGCATCTGAGCAAGTGACCTCTGTCGGCTTGGCTCATAGTGCTGCAGGAACTGCTCACCTTGGCTTGTTCCTGAGTCTGTTTAACTTAGGGATGCCAGCCTCCAGGTAGGGCCTGGGGATCCCCTGGAATTATAGCTCATCTCCAGACTACAGAGATCAGTTCCCCTGGAGACAATGGATGCTCTGGAGGATGGACTCTACAGTATTGTACCCCACTGAGGTCCCAGACTCCATCCTCAAATTTCCAGGAGTTTCCCAACCTGGTTCTGGCAACCCTACTCCCCTCCCATCCCCTGTGGTGGCCAAGGGGGACTTGGCAACCCTAGTTGACTTCCCAGTCAACCCTTGAAAAAGACTGACTATCCAACAGTTGGATTTCATCACTGTGCTGGGATTTCTGAACATCTTAAACTTTAAGAAAAACAGTATGTTCTGCATTTATCTGTCCAAACGCCATCCACTTTGCCTCTTTCCTTCCTTGTCTCTCTCAGGGCAATAATCCTCTCTGTATGCAAGACAGGGTGCCTGGGCTTCCAGTTCCTATACTGGGGAGACATCTAACTCTTGCTTCTCTCCTTCCCACCAGCCCACCTACTTTTATCTATTCCCCATTTTTCAGCTATATTATTATTTACTTACTTCATTTATACCTTACCTTTCTCCACAAAGGGAACCCAAAGCAGCTTACAGTATTCTTCTCAGATTTGGCCATGTTCAGAATTAGATATATTGACAAGGTCCCTTCTAATGCTAGGATTCAGTTGCTATAGTCCTAAAGACACATTCCTAGGAGACACATTCCTGTCTCTACCTGACCTAGCCACGGTAATCCATGCAATGGTTACCTCTGGGTTGGACTACTGTAATTTGCTTTATGTGGGCCTGCCCTTGCGCCTGACCTGGAAGCTCCAACTGGTCCAAAATGCAGCTGCGCGGGTCCTTACTGGGACCCCTCAGACAGCACACATTCAACTAGTGCTGCGTGAGCTGCATTGACTTCCAGTGGAGCACCAGATCAGGTTCAAGGTTCTGGTTTTGACTTTTAAGGCCCTTAGTGGTCAGGGACCTACATATCTTCAGGAGAGATGTTCCACCGGCCCTTCTGTTGAGGAGAGCAACAGGGCTTATTTGGCAATTTTACATCATTCCCCATCCCTTTTTATTGCCCCCCCCTCCCAGGGAGGCTGGGGAGCTGGAATTCTTTCCACCATCTTATATACTGTATGTATGGTGTTTTTATTTATTGGTATTATTGGATTATTTTAACTTAGTTTTAAATTGAGCTTTGTATATTATTTTGTTGTAAGCCACCCTGAGCCAGTTTCCAGGGAAGGGCAGCCTAGTAAATCTAATTTAAGGAGTAAAAAGGTAAAGGTTCCCTTGCTCGAAAGCCAGTCGAATCCGACTCTAGGGTTGCGGTGCTCATCTCCGTTTCAAAGTCGAAGAACCCGTGCTGTCTGAAGACGTTTCCGTGGTCATGTGGCCGGCATGACTAAACACCAAGGCGCACGGAATGCTGTTACCTTCCCACCGAAATGGTACCTATTTATCTACTTGCAATTTCTTGCTTTCGAACTGCTAGGTTGGCAGGAGCTGGAACTAGAGATGGGAGCTCACTCCATCATGCGGCACCCGGGTCTCGAACTGCTGAACTACCAACCTTCCACAGCCTGCAGTTCAGCGTCTTAACCACTTGAGCCACCGCAGCTCCAATTTAAGGAGTAAGCCCCAATGAATAACATGGGATTTACTTTTGAGCAGATCTGCCTAGGGCTGCTCTCCATGATTCCAGTTGCTTTCCTCATTCATTAGCAGTAATACCTGCAATAAAACCTAGTCTGTGCAATTTATTTATTATTGTCTGGATGGGAGGAAAGATGCCATGGTATAGCCTGATATTGTCAGATCTTGGAAGCTAAGCAGGGTTAGTACTTGGATGGAAGACAGCAAAGAAAGGCCATGTCAGACCACCTTTGCAATTCTCACTTGCCTTGAAAACCTCTTGCTGGGTTGTCAAAGGTTCGCTGTGACTTGACAACACTTTACACAAACACATTGTCTGGATCACATGAACTTTTCTGCCGTTTGTGACCCCACCCCCAGTCTAGTCGTTTGCACCAGCGGAAAACTTTTTGACCTGGGGAAACTACTACTGTTAACAGGAAACCTCGGTAGGATCCAACTCTATATTTTTATCTTACGTTTTAGCCAAAAGTGGCTCTCAAGCTGGCTCACAGTACTAGAATATCAATAAAAATGATATTAACATTCAGTAGAAATATTCCTGGACAAGTGGATTCTCAGTTGGAGCTGAAGTGAGTCATAACAGAGGCACTTCTGGCTGTCTCCTGCCTTCTATGTGAGGTTATAACTGATGGTTTTCTTACATGTGGACAACCAAGTTCTTTGCAATGTGATTTATAATATTTTCTAATTTAGTTAAAGAAAAAAAGATCAGTTTTCTAATATGCATGCATTCCAATGGTAGTGCTGATGGCAGTTTCGGAAACTGAACTGCTAACAGCTCTCCTGTTCCACCTTAAGCAGTTCCTGGCAGCATCTCCTGCACACACATCACTTTCTAATGAGCTATACAACAATGCCTCCCATCGCCCACCTGAATCAAACAAAAATATCAAATTCTACCAAAAGCACCCAACTTCAAAAGCCAAAGGGGGGGGGGAAATGCAAGTATGATTTATTTGCATAACCGACTCCATTAGTCACTTTGTGGTTTTAGTTCAAATCTATACTTGTCACAAAATACTTAGCTATGCACAGTAGTATAGACCACAGTCCCTCATAAATCATCCAAGTAACTTTGTGAATCATGTAGTATAGTGCAACCCTATTGCCTGTGCAGAAAAGCCCTCTTGAATTATACCGAACTGACTGATTTATAATAGATACTTTGGGGGGGGGGTGTTATTTGGTCCTTACGTGATTTTATGAGCCAGGATGGGCAAGGATCCAGAGTACAACCAGGATGGAAGTGGGTCAAAATGGTCCATAAATAGACTGGGTGGTTTATTAGGCTCATGTGTACCCAGGGCATTGCCACTGACTTGCAAAGTATCACCAGATTTAAAGTAGTTGTTAGATGAGGATGAACAGTCCTGAGAAGCAGAGGTGGTCTGCCATTTCCTTCCTTTGCAGAGCTGTCCTTGGTGGCCTCCTATCCAACCTTGCTTAGTTTCAAAGATCTGATGAGATTGATATACTATGCCGCCTTCTCTCTTGGCCTTTTCATTTGCCATTGCAAGAAAAACAAAAAAAGATCTTCATACCATCAGTAGCTGTAGTGGATCACTTAAAGCAAGACTATTTTTAGTCTTCACTATAGTTTCTTCATTACTTTCAGTCCAATTATTATTCCAACTTCTGAATTTACCACCTATGATTTGCAACTTACCACAGCCACTGCATCACTTGCTAATAGAGCTGGCATGTCCAGCACAACATAGTAGGCTACATTTGTCAACAAGTAAATGATTGTCACAATAGGCATTGAAATTGCAATGGAAAGTGGCAGGTTCCTGCAGAGGGAGATAAAACAGTATGGCACATTACTCATAATGCAGTAAGTGGTAAAACAAACAAGAAACAGAGGGGGGGGGATTCAAACAGTCATAGGGCTGTTTGCAAATATATCTTTCTACTTGGAAGAACTATGCAAATGAACCGCGCTCCTTTACTTCCTTCTACTAAAAAGCCACATGGGCTGAAACAGAGCAACCAAACGTATATTATCAGAACAAAGTGGCAAAGACCTTACCACTCAAAAAGTAACATCAGAATCAAAATCCAAAAGAAGCCAGATAATCTTAGATTCAGCAATCACACAAGCATCAGAAATAGATGAAAAAAGGGGCAAAGAAGAAGAGGGCAATCAAATACAATAGGAACGACAGTCTTGATCCTACTTGAGGAACACTGGCAGATATTATCTGAATAAGGTGTCCATGAATATTTCCCATTTAACACTGCAAAAGGTAAGGAGTCTACATGTGCCATCATAAAGGCTCGCCCCAGCTTTGAAACTCGATTATAAAAATATGGTGGTATTTTCCAATGGATGCACAATCTATGTGCAATGGGAGAACTGACTCATCAAGCACATAGATAATGTGTAGTGGTTAAGTGTGTGGACTCTAATCTGGGAGAACCGGGTTTGATTCCCCACTCCTCCACTTGCACCTGCTGATGTGACCTTGGGTCAGCCACAAGCTCTGGCACAGCTGTCCTTGAAAAAGAGCAGTTTGTGTCAGTGTTCTCTCAGCCCCACCCACCTCACAGGGTGTCTGTTGTGGGGAGGGGAAGGGAAAGGAGTTTGTAAGCCGCTCTGAGACACCTTTGGGTAGTGAAGGGCGGGGTATAAATCCAATCTCTCTCTCTCTCTCTCACTATTGTAGTCCAATTCTGTAATAAGGTCCTTTATTAATTTATACAGTTAATTGGAAGGTAGACTCACTATCATATCTATTGTCAAGTTTAAGGTAGACAATTTTTAAATCCATTAATTTATCCCACAATGATACAAATGAATCATTATGAAGAGGTAATAAACTGTGTCCCAGTTCAGATTTGAGAATCTTAATGTGATATTTTAAGGCTCTGATGCATGCCATTGCCTCCAAAGAACTTTGGCCTTACTCTGCTCATAAGACAAGTCTATTAACACATTTAGGGGTGCCTAAATTCGTACATAAGAAGTGTAATAGCAGTTTATAAAATTTCTCAGATATAGCCTCAATCCCTTCAATCCATATGGGGGCACAATATAAGAACTCTGCTTCAGTCTCTGCCACATAGGCTGCAATGGCTGCTGGAATATACTGTAAAAAAGAAACGTGAAATGGCTGCAGTTGGTTGAATTGCTGGTTTGGTGGAATTAAATAGGATCCCCACATAATGATACTGGGAGCTGTTCGATTGGTCTTCCATCTATTTTCAATTATATAAATGCTGGATGGATTGAAATATCAAAACTTTAGTTTTATTATAATTCATTGAAAATTTCTCATCCTGACAATAGTTGGGGGGGAAACCCATCATTTTTCTGAGGTCAATAACGGATCTCGATAGGAGGACCGTACCATTCACATACAATAGAACTGGTATACTTTCATTTTCAATGATGAAGAATGAAAACTTGGATGCAAGAGATGATCCTTTGGATCATTTAAATACAGGTTGAATCATTGAGGAGCAAGAACACAGCCCTTCTTAACTCCATGTTGCAGTGGAATTTTCTCTGATAGCTCCCCCCCCCACCAAATATAGCTATGCAAATCCGAATAGAGATTGTGAATCAAGGCTAATAGCCGCTAATCAGTGAAAGTTTGCTCTAATTTTCTCCAAAGAAATTGTATAAAAAGCAGATTTTAAAGTACAAATATGACTGCCAGATAGCCCTCTGAAAGCAGGAATATTTTTCTGCCAGGAAATGAAGAACATGGGCAATGGTCCACTGTTGAGGCACCAGCACGAAAACCTGCCTGTTCACAGCTTGTAATTTCTTGCTCCTCTGTCTATGAAATCAATTAATCAATAGCATAAATCTTGCTTATGACTCGCAAGAGACTTATTGGTCTATAGTTTGCAGGATCATGACAATCACCTTTCTTATATATAGGCAGTATAACAGAATCCTTCCAAGAAGAAGGAATATAGCCTGTTCTATTAACCTGGGTAAAAATAAAATATCCACCCACCAGTCAAGGTTGGCTTTAGATATCTCAGCAGGGGCATAATCAAGCCCAGAAGCTTTTCCAAAAGAAAAAGAGGTTAAAACTGTACATGTATTTCATTCTTGGATACTTCTGGCTGATTAGGTAGAGCTGACAGATTAGTCTCAGGCCTACCAGATTCCTCTTTGCACAGATCTGCAAAAAATTTCTCCCAGACAGTTACAGGGCTATTATTGGGCAGGAACGCACAGGAACGGAGTTCCGGCTGGCTCCCAAGTTGACCATGCCCAGCAGGAACTCATTAGCCTAATAGGCCACACCCAACAGCAGAAATTCATTAGGATTGGCTACATTAGGGGTGTGTGGCCTAACATGCAAAGGAGTCCCTGCTACAAAAAAGACCCTGGGTTTTGACAACAAACAAGGTAAGCAGAATAACAAGCAAAAGGTGGGTGTGGCTGGATAACCACACTTCTGGTAACATGGGGGTGCGGCCTAATGTGGTAATGAGCTGTGCTGTCAGGGGTGTGGACTACTATGCTAATGAGTTCCTGCTGTTGGGTGTGGCCTATTATGCTAATGAGTTCCTGCTGGGCTTTTTCTACAAAAAGAGCCCTAGTTATGGATATATAAAAAATTAAAGGCCGGTGTTTCTTCTGTCTACTAGACATCATGGACCAAAAGGCAGTCATATTATTTGTCTCAATAAATTCAATAAGACTGGACCAGCCATCAAACTGTGCTCCTCTTTTGCACTTCCTAACCATAGTTTTATAATTACACATCAAAGAAAGGTAATTTTCTAAATTTGCAAAGGGTTGCAAATTAAATTTATAAAACCAGCCTCTCTTGGAGTAATATTGCATGCCCAGATAATTTAGGATTTTAAAATTGAATGACTGACATTCAGTTACTGAACTAATAAATATATGTAATTGTTCATCGTTCAAATTCAGGGTGAGTTGACACTACAGGGATCACAGAGTAGCTGCCTAGCAGCTTAGTGCACAGTATCAGAACTTTGTGGATAGACAGTCCATTGTAGCCTCTGATCATGTAGTTAGGCCCTGCTTCACCACACAACCTTCCCATGATTGGTAGCCTTAGGCTCCTTAAAATAGTAGGAGTTTACTGATGATATTCCTTAAGCTTTAAGGAGATGACTGCAAGGTTCCTGGTTGTCCTGAGACAACTAAGGAAACTTTACATCCCCTCTCTCCCAAGAAATGCTGTGCAGGGTCCAGCTCATTATCTGTGAAATTGAGTTGAAATATGCTTTAATCCAAAAGAATACTGGGGAAAAGACGTGACTCACTGATACTCTCATTAACTGGCAGTATGATAATGTTGTTCTATGAAACATAGAATCAAAGAATCATAGAATCATAGAGTTGGAAGGGGCCACACAGGCCATCTAATCCGATTTGCCTGCTCAGTGCCTAAAGCCTCCCTGACAAGCATTTGTCCAGCTGCTGCTTGAAGACTTCCAGTGCCAGGGACCTTACCACCTCCCTAGGCAATTCCACTGCTGAATACTCTTACTGTAAAAAAAAAAAAAGGTTTCCTGCCCATAATTTAAACCCTTTATTGTGAGTCCTATTGCATTTATGTACCTTTCTGGATTTTTCATTTCTTCAGTGACAAAATTCAGTGTATCCCATCCAGAGTAGGAAAAGAGGGCTGAATAAAGAGCAAGAGCAATGAATCCTGTATCTGTTGTTGAACCTTCAAATGGATCCTTAAGGTTATCAGTTTCTCCTGTGCAAACGTCAGAAGTCTGCAGTTATTTACATATCTGCATATAATCTACATACAATTTACATGAAATAGCGATACATTCAGCATATTTATTATGGAAACGTGGGGAAAAAGTCATCTCATGTTGTCTTTTCTATAAATTAATGCATACCTCACCTTCAGTATGCACATGTAATGAGTCTTCTGTTCACATAAACTGCCTCACATCAAAGAAGAAAACTCATGGAAGGTCATTTTCCTGTGAGTACAGATATTAAATCTGGAGCACTTTCCACATAATGTTCATTTGGAGCCTTCCATGAGTTTCGTGATCTAATGATGATACCCTGCTCACACAAATAGACTATACCCACTAGCAGTTAAATATGCAAGAGAGCCACCAAAAGTAATATATGAACTGACTTTACATTTAAAAAAAATGAACACATGAATCTGGAATTATAAAAGCTTCGTGTTATCCAGTATAATTATTGTTATTTGTTGAGCACAACCAACAAGACAGTCATGCACATCTTTGGTGGAGCCCCATCTTTGCCGGATATTTTAGGGAACAGACAACAAAATATTTAGTACATTGCACTGAACTGTAATTTCAGGAAGAACTAGATGCTGATATAAACCATCTGTAGAATAGAATTATTCTGGACAAGTGTTTTGTGGACAGCTGTCCCAGGCTGGTTCATGTTAGCAGTGTAATCCTAGCAGTGTAATCTTATGGAAAGTCTCTCAATTCCAGAGTCACCATACTGACTTCAGTAGCCTTAAACTGGTGTAACTGAATAGGATTGCACTGGTGGTTACCATCTGTCCTATTTGCAATCATTTACAGATATGCACAAGAACACTGTCCAATCACTGTCCATAAATATACTGTGCCAAGATTTCTGTTAGCCTGGAAACTGCTGCTGAATGTACCCTGTTTCCATACAGTTTCCACATGTTCATACAGCTGGGGATGGTTTATGTAGAGTTTAAAAGCACAGTCAAAGTAGATGGTCTGAACTGGGCTATAGTCTTCTTAACATACTATTCGGTTCTGTTAGTATTCATTCATAGGAAGTATATCTTACCTTGACTAATTTTATAAAGACCCACTGCTATTACCATAATAAGGGCCATAACTTTTGCATATGTGAAAAGATCTTGTACTCTGGTTCCCCACTTCACATTGACACAGTTAATAAATGTCAGGGAGCCTAATGAAGAAATGGGACACAAACAAGATATGCACGGTTAGCTGCACTTCAGCAAGATATGGGTCACTTGAAGTATTTTCATTAACTTGATAGGATTTTTTTTCCTAAGCAAAAGAAGTTAATAAGAATATACTGGATTGGGGGGGGGGGGTCAGAGTTTCCAGAAATGAAGAATGAAAAATATCCAATGATGGAGCAAACAGAGATTAAGGAGTCAGCCTGCTCTAGGTGGGTTTCACTCCCCACCAGAAAACACATAGTTAGGATCCAAACTAATATTGTTAATAGTTTAATGTATTTTAGTGCTTATTGATTTTGTTGTAAGCAATTTCCAAGGATGTGCACTAGCACAAAAATCTGGATTTGGAATCCAGATTTGGAATTAGGAGCCTTCAGATTTCAAATTTTAGAAAATATGACTTTTCCAAATATCTGAAATTCCATTAAAATGAATAAGAATAACTTATTTTCCATTAAAAAGAAGGCAAACAACTTTTTAAAAGCTTTCCCTCAGCCTCTGACCCTTTCCCAGTGCCTATGCCAACCCCCAAGAGTTAAGATTTGGCAACATAGTGCACACAGCCACAGCTACTATTGCCAGGCAGCAGGGTTGTGTTGCCAGCCCCCTGTCAGGGAATCCCCTGCCCCCAGGTTATGCCCCCCCAATCACCATAGGGGAGGCCTACCCCAGCATTTCAGCTATGTCACTGGCAGTGCTCCCTCTAAGCTGTGGAGTCCTGTGAGCAAAAATTCTACTTTGTGAGCTACTGGCATTAAAGCTGTGAATGAGCGATTTGGCTACTGCATAAATTAGCTTGCTCTGGAGCTAGGACAAAAGTGTGTGAGCTGGAAGCTAAAAAAACTGTGAGCGAGCTCACACTAACTCAGTTTAGAGGGAACACTGTTCACTGGTGACACAGCAGCATCACTTCTGATGTGCATGCTGGCAACATAGTGACACCCTGGTATTTGGGCAAAACCACTGTGGTAGAAGTTATGGTGTGCACCGTAAGAGATGTCGCCATGTTGCCGATGATTCCAGCCTAGGGCTCTTTTTGCTGCCAGCAACATGGCTGAAAAGCAGGGCTAGGTCTCCCTTTCCTGCCGGGTACCTGGCAACTCTTCGGCAGTGCCAGGCATTAGGAAAGAACTGTAATGTGTGCAAATGCCACCAGGGAGCACTGGGCATGGCACAGTGGAGCAGGGGAGAGCTGGTGCTGTGGAGTGGGAAAATACGCTGTGGGCAGCACTGACAGGCAGACTGGAGCGACAGGTGGATAGACAGTGGTGAGAGGGTGGGAATTACTCCAACAGCATTGGGCACAGCACAGCACAGCACAGCTGAATGAGTGAGCCCAGTCCTGAAGCAGCAGTTGGAAGAAAGGAAGGGGCAGCAAGAGGAGGCAGCAGACTGAAGCATGGCATACCCTGCACTATGGACTGGAGTGTGCCATTCCCTCTTACTGAAAAGGCACCTCAGGGAAAGCCCAGTAATGGTAGATTGATCTTAAGGGGGGGGGGAGGACCAGTTTCCCCACAGATCCAGGTTCCAGGAATGACTGACAACGTCCCCAGCCTAACAGAACACCCACTTGCTGGGCTCACTTTTTGGTGGGCAAGAGATCCCTCCCACTGCTACCTCAATCAGACCTCCCCCAACAGAGCCCTTTTCAGCCCAGTAAGTCCAGGGGATCAGTCTATTTCGGCTTGCAGGGCTTCTGCATGTGTGCCTCCACATCTGCCTCTGCCATGTCCCCCTTCCAGCAAAACCATGGCAACACATATCAGGGGACACTGAGCTTTCTGCTGTCACCAGCCTTGATGCTAGGCTGTCTGGGGAATGTTTCATTTGCCTTTCTCAAGCAACCAGGTCAGCTTGTCTGAGGAATAGATTTCACTTTTGTCTTCTTGCAGGCAGCCTATCCTGCTTTCTGTAGGTGTCAATAGAACTCCAAATATCAGGAATTATTATGAAAATATGGAACAATAAAATTCCAACTTGGAAATCATCATATAATTCATATCATTCACTCTGAATATAGCACCATTCAGTGAGTATGGATATTTCTGACTCTGAATTGCACATTTCTAGTGAGTTCTGCCACAATTTATGGAAAAGTGGAAACCATCTAAATAAAGAAATATGAGTGCAAAACCTGGAACAATCCTGTTTTTACAACTCCGGCTGTTTCATTTGCAAGATGAAAATACAGTTGAGAGATTCTTATTCTTTTGGTGCCCTCTAGCATTCAAAGAGAAAGTTGCAGCTTCCTATGAAATGTGCTTTAGTTGAGCACACTGCTTATCACCAAAAACCATGTAAAATAGACCCTTTGGCAATTACACTCCCCTTTATAGCATATAAAACTAGGTAGCTAGGCAAAACTAGGCAAACAAACTGGATTCTGGTATGACATGAGGTAGTAGTTACAGGAGATTTGTTTTATAATGAGCACTAGCTGTCAATCTACATTTGAGGTTTAAAGATAAAAATGATTGCTCACAACAGAGAAAATTAAAGTCCTGTCGCAGCCAGTAGACAGAGAGTTGGACTTGGTTTCGAGGGACCTAGAGTTCAAGGCTCAGCTCTGCCATAGATGCCTTATGTTGCTTTTGGGAAGACTAACTCTCAGCCTCATTTCTCCATCTACAAAATGGGGAAAACAGTAGTTAGGTCATAGGATCATTGTCAAAGGATGGGTTATACTGTGGGCAGACTTTTTCTTGCTTTCGAGTAGCTCACCATGGTGATACAGCTTGAGAATGTATAATCAGACATGTAACTGAAATATATACAATAATGCACACATAAATGAAGGGGAATCAGTGGTGGTGTAGTGGTTAGAGCATCGGATTAGGACCTGGGCAGGTTTGGATTCTAACTCTGCCATGCAAGCTCACTGGGTGACCTTGGGTAAATCACTCTCTCTCAGCCTAATCCACCTCACAGGGTTATTGCTGTAACTTGGATGAAACAAAGGAGGAGAGAATGATGTCGCAATCTGCTTTGAGTCCCAGTTGGGAGAAAAGTCAGGTATTTAAATATACAAATAAAATATAAATAATTGAAGTGGCCTATGAACATTGTCCCTACAAAATAAGAACTAAATATTGTCTTGCTGTACCAGACTAGGGAAATCCAGATACAGTATGCTCAAAATCTGAGCAGAATTATTTATGACTCTCAGGAGTGTTTCTGATCTAATACGGTAGTTATTTTGAAGATTCCCTTTGTGGTTTCAGTTTCCTATCTCTTTCAGTCACCCATATAAGGCATTATACAGACTAAACACATTAGATCATCTTGCTCTGTAGTGGATATTGATAGAAAGTGACTGTCCAGAGACTCGGGCAGAGATTTTTCATTCATTCCCAGCCCTACTATTCTCGGGCAACTCCTAAATACCTTAATTTTTTTGTTCATCTTCATGCAACATCTGTTAACTGAAATCTTGTGTTTTTCTCAGAGGAAACGGGAAGAAGCCAAACTCTTTTCTACCAATGTCTCCCCTATCCCCAAAGGCAAATGAAAGTGGACCTTCTGAACCTTTGCAATCAAACAAAATAGTCGCACCGACAGACTCTCATTTTACTTACAGATACAAGCAGCTGCAATCAACCTAACTGCTCCATAGGGTGGCTCACAGAATGGAAATATTGGTTGAACTATATAGTTAGCAAAAGTGATGGCTATAACAGCCTGAGTGGTTGGCTCAATAATGAGCAAGGAAGACCATAGTCTGATAAAGGCTATAAAGCCGCCAAACGCTTCCAGAATGTAGGCATAACTTGCTCCAGATTTAACAATGGATGTTCCCAGTTCAGCGTAACACAGTGCTCCAAACAATGAAAAGATCCCTCCAAGAGCCCAGAGGAGGAGTGCAAGTCCATAAGAAGCGCTGTACATCAGAACTCCCTTGGGGGACACAAATATTCCAGAACCAATCATGTTCCCAACTATTAAAGAAATGCCATTGAGCAAAGAGATTTCTTGTTTCATCTGCATTTTTTCTTTTTTGTTCTCTGTCACCAAGGCCAGTTCAGTCTTGGGCATGTTATTTTTGTTGCAACCTATTATCCAAGGGTCCGTCATCTTCAATTAATTATTACCTGGGAAAGAAGCAGAATGAGATAATGTTTTGTCTTTTTTTTGTAAAAAAATGCCATCACAAAGGACAGAAGACACAGACAATTGGTATCTCCTATATGGTATCTCCAAAAGAGCTTACTGCATGGTGGATATAGCCATACTTAAAGATAAGTCATCTGGGAAAGAAATAATACTGAGTAAGGTCTTTTAAAATATTTTTGTTCTATTTTCTGCTTAAGGTGATAGCTGTATGAGCAGTACTAGATAGACAGATAGACAGACAGATGATAGATAGATAGATAGATAGATAGATAGATAGATAGATAGATAGATAGATAGATAGATAGATAGACAGACAGACAGACAGACAGTCAGTCAGTCAGTCAGTCAGCCAGCCATCTGGGTAGCCCCTAGTCAGAGAATAAGTGGCAGTAGTGCTCTGTTTACCAAGCAGCCAAATACCACAAGCATCTTTTCCCCACTTATTCGATAATGTTCCATAATAACCAACGATGAACTTTTGAGGATGGCATACGGGGTTGCTATAAGTTGGCTGTGACTTGATGGCAATAAGTGGGGGCAGTCCCCCAATTAGACAAATGAGGTATATGGGTCACCGGGCAACCTAAGAACAAGGTCCCTCATCAATCACCAGATGGAGAGCTCATTCTGCGATTGTCTAGCACCTGCTATCAACCTTTCCCGCTTTTCATTCAATACAACACCACTCCCATTTGACTGGTTAGCAGGGCAGCATGAAAGACATCATTCCTTGGCTTCCTTGTTGGCAGAGCACTTTCCTCTCACACGGCAACTGGAAACAGTGGCATTGGTAGTTACAATGGAGAATAATGAATAGGGGGAACTGAGTCTTCATCTTGTGGTTAAGGCAGTGGACACAGAGTCCCCAAAACAGCCTCTCCCAATTTCCCCTCTCTTTAATAATATGACCCCCCAAGCTATTTAAGTAGGCATATTCACTGTCTGAAAGAACTGTGATCCCATGTACTAATTTCTTAACAGAAAAGCTGCAGGTCTGCAAAAGGGTGAGAACAGGAACCTCTTGGAGGGAGCTGCGCAGTAGATAAGGAATGTGTGACTGTTGTGAAATAACACACACAAGCTATTTTTACCACCCCAGCACCCTCAGATCATATGGGAACCAGGTAATAAAAACTTCCAATTATCTGCAGGGGAGAAAAATCCCCATTTATGGCTGTAGATTGAATTACCATTTGCTATACTGACAAAAAGAAATGCAAAATGTATTACTATTGATATCCTGACTGAATAGTCCCTAAAACCCCCTGGCATCATGGTTAGATGCCCACAATGGTTAGAAGCCCACTGGCTGGACAGCCCCCATTTCAGGATAGGTCAAGCAGTACTCTTCCAGAAACAGACAGAAAAGCTAAGTAAAGTCTGCAATAACCATTCTGTTTTTATAAGATAGATCAAGATGGGTAACCATGTTAGTCTGTGTGAAGCAGTAGAAAACAGCAAGAGTCCAGTAGCACCTTAAAGACTAACAAAATATGTGGCAGGGTATGAGCTTTCATGAGCTACTGCTCACTTTTTCTTACTCTTTTCTATTTTTGTAAGTTTCAGCTCTATTGCACCCATTTCTTTGCAGAGTAATGCCAGGGTAAAATCAGTGTTCAGAGAATTTAGTGAGTGCTTGATTTTGGTTCTTTTGCTAGTTTCTGTAATACCTGTAGCCTTGTTTTGCTAGGCATTCCAATTGCCTTTATGTTCTTAGGGATAGGAGTGTTTTCCAATCAAATAAAGATATATGTTTTTCATTTTAACTATCTCAAACTGTGCTTAAAATGCTCACCCATGGTCCTGGCTGTTCATTCATACAGAGGGCAAAGACCTAACCAAGCTAGAGGGTTAGCAGGCAGAGAAGAAGGGGATAATTACGCCATATGCCTGTACACCACCCATACAGCACCCCACTCACAGTGTGATGGGCCACTGTGAGGGATATATGATGTGGGGTGGGTAGTCTGGATGGTGGCAGCAAAGTTACTGTGATAGAAGGGTGAAAAGCTAGGGTTCCCTAAAAGTGGATTCATGCCTCTCACATGCTCAATGAATCCCTATCTTCTTGGAAGGTTGCCTTGGGAGGGGGCAGTATATCTGGATACAGATGGGACAAAGGGTTCTGAATCTCCAAAGAACTGCTCCCAGTAAAAGCAGAGGAAAAATCTGACATGGCACACTTCATGGATCTCCAAGTGTCATTTAAAGATAAGTATTAGGCTTGTTCGGAGCTGCGGTGGCTCAAGTGGTTAAGATGCTGAACTGCAGGCTGTGGAAGGTCAGTAGTTCAGCAGTTCAAGACCCGAGTTGCTGCATGACGGAGTGAGCTCCCGTCTCTAGTTCCAGCTCCTGCCAACCTAGCAGTTCGAAAGCAAGAAATTGCAAGTAGATAAATAGGTACCACTTTGGTGGGAAGGTAACAGCGTTCCGTGCGCCTTGGTGTTTAGTCATGCCGGCCACATGACCACGGACTGTTTCATTCTCCTTTCCCTGCATGATTTTGCATACTGAAGGTGTCTTCACCCAACCTTTATTAGCTGTGGAAGGGGAAAAAGACAGACACTCTTTTTTTTGGTCTTTTTCCCCCTTCCAAGGCCTGCAGGAAGGGTGTGGCTTTGGTAGGAAAAGCCATGCACCTATCAAAGAATTAAACCCCTTTTCTTCTCTTCATGCAACCCCCAATTAGAATTGGGTCCATGTACACTTTAAATTTACTCTTTGACAACACTGGACAACAAGATCAATGAAGATCTTGTCTGTTTTGATTCTTAGTCAATGTTATTGGATTATGGAGGCAGGGAGTTAACTGACAAAAAGGAAAAAGAATGTAAATAGTTATATTGGAAAGCAAAATCCTTCACAACATAACAACACATATATAAAACCATAACCTGTAACAACAGATTACATCAAGAGAAATTTAAAAGGTGTGTAAATATTCTAATTACCTTTTTTGGGACTGCAGTACCCACCAAATGAGGAAACAAATTCACAGGGCCAGACTAGTAGCCAGAAACATCCTACTCCAGGACAAACTAAAAAGAACCAACAACAGAACACCACTGGTAGTCACCTATAGTTCCCAGCTCAAACCAGTCCAACGTATCATCAGTGATCTACAGCCCATCCTAGAAAATGATGCTTCTCTCTCACAAGCCCTGGATGGAAGATCTCTCCTTGCCTACAGACAGCCCCCCAACCTCAAACAACGTCTCACTAACAACCATGAACCATCTAACGGAGTCACCAACACAGGAACCAGACCCTACAACAGACCCAGATGCCAACTCTGCCCACATATCTACCCAGAAAATATGATTGCAGGAACCAATGGCATCAACTACACAATCTCCGGCTCTTACAGCTGCTCACCCTCCAATGTGACATAAGCTCTCATGTGCCAACAATGCCCCTCTGCTCTGTACATAGGACAGACCAGCCAACCTCTACACAAAAGAATAAATGGACACAAATCTGACATCAAAAATGGCAAAATACAGAAACCAGTGGGAGAACACTTCAATCTACCAGGACATTACATCAAGGACTTAAAGGTCACCATAGGCCCCGGTCACATGGGCCAGATAACTTGGGCAAAATAAAGCAAAATAAAGCGTGGTAGCCCGATCACACGGTCCCCCAAGTCTCCGTGCTTCAGCTGTTAGCTGGTGATCACACGGCGATGCTGCAGTGTGGCAAAGAAGCAGTGCAGCGCGATCACACACGTGTTTCGCATTTGTGTGCATGCAAAGTTCTGCGAAGCAGCACTGCTTTCAGTTTCATGTTTGTGCGCATGCGCTTACGAAAAACATCCGGTTTGCGATGGGACGTGGATGGGTGCCAGATGCCACGGGATACTAGCACTCCTGTGATCAGACACCCGCTTGTACCGTGCGTTTTCCGGATACTAGTGCACTTTCCTTGGTACTTTTTAACTCCACATCTTCGGCGGGATGCCACGGGTGCGCTACACTTCCCAGATGTTGCGGTGTGGTCGCACCCCAAAACTCCGCCCAACATTCGTGCCTTTCACGTGGCAAATTCTTCGTGTGACCGGGGCCATAATTCAACAGAAACATTTCAAAACCAAAATCCAATGGGAAGCTGCTGAATTGGAATCTATATGTAAATTTGGCTCAGTCAGACTAGGATTGAATAGAGACTTTGGATGGTTATCTCATTACCAGAAGTAACTGCCTTTCAGGTATTTCATTCAGATTCATCAATAGAAGGAAGGGGTCACACCCAGCCTGGATTGCGCATTCTACTTTTTTCATTACATTTGCAACTGCTTTGCATTTACATGGCACTTTCTGCATCCTCTCCCCCCTCCCCTTATTGCCTATTTACCTCTGGCAAGTTTTTTCATACCCTTCATTGCATCTGATGAAGAGAGACGTGTTTCTTGAAAGCTTATGCTACAATAAAGTCTGTAAGTCTTAAAAGTGCTACTGGGCTTTATACTAATTACCTCTGTAGCTTATGTCGTAGCTCACAAAATCCCATCTAATTTAGCTGCTGTTGCAGCAGACTGAGCCACTGTTAGGGTTATACAAGCAGGGACCTGTGAGAATTGTGAGGGAGATGCCCACCCAACCTCTGCTTTGCTGCCATGGCATGTCCCCTCAGCCTGCCTGATGCCAGGTTAGCCCAGCTACCCAGGAGCTTTGTCTCAGTGGCTGACAAGAAGCCTCTTCCCCTGCCTGCCTGCACTGAGAGAAGAATTCTTTGCGTTTGTGCGGTCAACTGTTCTGTTTTGGGGGGCTTTAATTCCCCCTTTTTCGTTTTATTGATTTTTCTGTAAGCCTGGGGAGGGTCCCCCGCGTTTGCAGAATTATGTGTGAGTGTATCCCCAATTTGCAGATTTAAGAATCTGCAGATGGGGCACACGTCACTATTTGAATATATGATGATATAATTTAATTTATTTATTAATAGAATTAATTTATACAGCACTGATCAATTTACAAATGGC